TCTCTCTAGTTTGATACCAGAATCTAGAAGCGACTCATTCCAGTAAAATCGTCACCATTAAGTTTGGATTACTGATTTACCAAAACACCTTTAATTTAAAAAGAAAATATCCAAGATGGCACATCAAGATTTTATTGAGAAATTCGGCGGAAAATGGAAACAAGAAAAAACAGAAAATTTTGAGGAATATTTTAAGATTATGGGTAAGTGTGCAGTTTAATTAGTTTTATTTTTATATTGAAAGGGATCGGGTAGTCGAATTATTTGATTATTTGATTGAAATTCCTACCAATTTGTACATCACAAACAGCGGTAGATCTCTGACTTTCTTTGATCTACCATTTTTAATTAAAACAAAAAAATGCTGGTAATATAATACTCTTATTGTAATCTATACCAATGTTTGTAGGTTGTCGTATAAATAGATCAAACTATATATGGCGCCAATGTTTCTAGGTTGTCGTATAAATGGATCAAACTATATATGGCGCCAATGTTTCTAGGTTGTCGTATAAATGGATCAAACTATATATGGCGCCAATGTTTGTAGGTTGTCGTATAAATGGATCAAACTATATATGACGCCAATGTTTCTAGGTTGTCGTATAAATAGATCAAACTATATATGGCGCCAATGTTTCTAGGTTGTCGTATAAATAGATCAAACTATATATGGCGCCAATGTTTCTAGGTTGTCGTATAAATGGATCAAATCATATATGGCGCCAATGTTTCTAGGTTGTCGTATAAATAGATCAAACTATATATGGCGCCAATGTTTCTAGGTTGTCGTATAAATAGACCAAACTATATATGGCGCCAATGTTTCTCGGTTGTACAAGTCTATCTATATCTGAAGAATGTCAAAATGGAAGCGATCAATTCAGTTCAATACTTCGTGAGAGTGTTGCAGGGAAATTATTTAACGATCGGAATGGAGATATTTTAGATGTCTTTAATTACACCTTTGGAAAAAGTAACATTGCCAGTACATATTATTTACTAAATATTGCTTTCAGAACATACTGATTTTTTAATACTGGTATTACATGTTGGCCTACTGGTACCATTTAATTTAGAGGGATGGGATCATGCTTGCTTTCTTGTTTTCAAACATCTTTTCAACTTGACATTATTTTTGATTCAATCATTACTGAAGAATGACAATATTAAATTTTTTTGGAACTTGAAATATTAGGCACTATTTCTAGAATTATTTTTTCCTTGAATAGGTCTATCCTATTATAGATTTGTTGATTTTAATGAAGTTAACTGTGTCATGTAGGCCTATGATCAATTTAATTAATTTTCAAGGCTAAAGGCTTATTTAAAAAAAGAAATAATCAATTTGGAGTTTTAAAATCATGAATTTACGCGCTTTGAAAAAAATCTCCCGACTTTTCACCAAAATCTCCAGATTTTTTTCCTGACATGTACACATGTATGATTTAACTGAATTAGTACCAAAATATCTTGGCTATCTTAACTACATGTACTTTTATTTATTACGATTCTTTTATCTTGGCAGATTTGAATATCGTCTTCAGGAAACTTTTGATGCAAATCAGCCCCACGGAGGAATATAAACTTGACGGCGACTATGTGGTCACGATTAACAACGTTGGGCCAACTTCAAATTATAACAAGTTTAAATTCAACGAGGAATTTGAAGAGGAAAGAATGGGAAATAAAATGAAAGTAGGTCCACAATAAATTGTTACGGCTGACATGGAAAAATTGTCTAGTCGTTCGGATGGGACAATAAATCGAGGCCCTGTGTGCTACTGTCTGTGTTCTTAAAGCCACTGTCACTGTGCTGTCCAACTTTCCCTATTCCATAATGCAAGCGGTGTCCTTCTTCATTAGCCAATCGTATGCAGAAAAGTGGGACGTAAAACTCCATTTCATTTCATTTTATTGTAGAGTTTATGTCGATTTGAAGATGGCAAGCTCATAAACTCTAGTACATCGGTTGATAATCCAGCTATAAAACCTCAAACTGTAACGATTGAAAAGATCACAGACGACCAAACCTTGACGGTACGTATTGATGCATACAAAACAATTCGTAACTGAGGCCCATTTTCAAACTGCTGCAGGAAGGCCCAACCAGATACATACTTGCTCGACAACCTACGTACCAAAGGTCGATCTTGCAATGACCTGATTTTGGAACGTCTTAATGTCCTATCTATAAAGCAAGGAACTAGGAAGCAGGGCTATGACTAAACATAAATCCTATTCGAGAACCGTCTCGTCTGATTACTTTAGAAGGGGTAAGAGATTTGAAATTCAAATTCATGTTTCTATTTTAAGACGATCGTGGTGGGTGATAACGACTTGGTGTGTAAAAGATATTTTAAAAGAGTTCCAGAATAGTTGAATCGAGAGAAGAGTTTTATATCGAGTGGATGTCATAACATGGAACCATCATCTAATGTTAAATAGAAATACATGTAGTCGTCTAAATATAAACTTTACCAGTTGATTCTCTTGACATGGCCATTATTTTCAAACCCTCGTGATAATTATAATTCATCGTCACTGCAACATAATGATACATATAAATATAAATTAACAGATTATTTCAGTGTTTAATAAAGCTATGAATATTGAAAATTAGTTCGTCTCGATTGACTAATTGCCAATTAATTGTTAATTGCTTGGATACTATTAAGCGTAATTAGTTGTGTTAATTACCTACCTTCCTATGCTTATATCTAATATAATTCGGTGCTCATATCTCATTTGTCATATTCTCTTTGTCATACAGAGGGATTAGTTAACGGTAGGTTGGTTGGTACATGTAGATGACAAGTTAAAGTCCACTTCCAGCAAATACTGGTGAGTTAAAATAGCAATAGACATTATATACAAAGCCCTTAGCCAGACCCCTTGTAATGTAACCGGAGGGCCAATGGTGTATAGTAAAGTCAAGAGGAATAAGATTTGAAAATAAACGGCTTAAATATCTCATTTTATGCAATTTGACAGGGTATTCTTGTAATATTGTTGTTATTTGGCCGCCACCCCTGCTCTTTGTAGTTGCCATTGGTAGATAAATCTCAATGGTTGATAGTAACAATTAAAATACATGAACAAGTCATGGTGAACAAGTCATGGTGAACAAGTCATGGTGAACAAGTCATGGTGAACAAGTCATGGTGATAATGTGTAATAGCAATTTAATTTAAATGCATATATTGATTAGATAAAAAAAAGAATATTAGTGTAAAAATGAATGAAGTTTTACGCACTACTTTTCTGCACCATGTGAGCTAATGAAGACGGGCAACGCCATGCAGGGTGCAATGAGGGAAATTTTTCCAGGACAGCGGCATTAGCCTGCTGTTTTTCGTTTGAATCCTGGACCTTCAAGTTAGTGAGCATCTAAATCACTGAACCACCGCGGCTCCCATATTATTAGTTTGGATAAACTGCTTCTTCGGTTAATTTCAACGTTTCAATTCACACATACAGGAATCTTTATCAAACATTCAAAACAATAAATGAATATCTGAAATTAGGTATTTTTTCTTGTTTTGTTGAAGGCTGCTATACTTATCAACTATGATCTAACGAAATTGCAATGAGGCACAAGTTCTAGGTCACTTATTAATTCAACCACTCAAATGCTGGTACCAAACACAATCCCACCACCGCTTACCACATGAGGCTTTGCACAACTTTAGATAATTGAAAATAAAAGTATTTCGAGGCAATGTCATTTTTGTTTTAATTGTATACGAACGGGCTTCAGAGTTATCCCCTGAAAAGTAATACGCCGTATAGCTGAAAGTAGATTCTTGCTTGTAGAGTAATTATCAAGAAGAGTATATCTCTGTGAGAAAAATTGTATTGTGTAATAGAGCGATACTTGTCTATCCACGACTGTACACCTCCAAAAAATATAAGTATCTGTTTTTACTTTTTCACACGTCATTGATTATAGTAGACACAGATTTTGACCTCTAACCTTAATACTTGGGACGAATTCATTATCATGGAAAGGTAAAAGGCGAATCTTTTATCCATGTCATCGTAGCGAGCGAATCACTCTTTAAAGAAGATAAGATGAAAATTATATGAAATGGAGTTTTATTATGCCCTCCAGTCCTGTACCTTAATGGAGTGCTGATCTTTGTTCTACTATCCTTTCCAAATCTAAGAGCGTCAATACGTTCAAGCACCGTCATGAATATTCTAAATATATCTAGGTTTTGCAGATCTAAATAGATTTAAAACCGCCGCACCTACGGAGATGCGGAAAGTCCCCATTTTTCTGTCTCTACACCAGCCGACATCTGTCCAAATAGCAATCACAGGCTGGAATAGAGACGGGTGTTTCGGTCACCAGTCCCTAATACGAGGTTCACTTACTAAAGAGAAACACGGTAGAGATTTGTAACAGTATCGGACGTGTTAAAGGCACGATGTAGAACAGCCTATGCCTACCTTTATGCAATAATGGATCGCTCTAAGTATGTCAAAGGTCAATATATGTGTCCAATAAAAAAAATAACGTGAAAAGATTCTGAAGTATTAAGTAAACATGCGATGGTTTGACAGCTCATTGACTTTTATATCTATATCTATATCTATAGTGAAACTCGGCCATTTCCCTCGAGTAAGGTGAAACAAGTCAGTGGTTTAATTCAGTTGCCAAAGAAATTGTATTAGTCAGTCTAAGCTTGTTAAGCTCGAAATAACTCTGGTTAGATCTTGAATTAATTCGATCAAACTTGGAAACGTTCTATAAGTATATTACACTGGGTAAAACTGAATTCATTTTCAAAATTAAAAATGGCTTTAGAGGAAATCAAAGAAAAATTTGCGGGAAAATGGAAACAGGACAGAAAAGAAAATTTTGAAGAATTTTTGAAAGTTATGAGTAAGTATTGATTTCAAACAATTTAAATTTCTCATTGAATTACAGAATAATCGTCAGTGTTGATATAGAGTTATCGAACTTTAAGGTTTTTTTAATCAATACGCACCTTAACTGCCCAAAAGAGATCGTAGAACGTTTTTAGATGTTATAGTAGGAATGCAAAGCTATAACGAACTTCGTCTTATACCTTGACTGCAATAGCCACCTTTCTTGTGTCGAGGGAAATGTGTAAATGAAGCCATTTGATTGAATTATACGTAAAGAAATACAGCCAATCAGAGGCCTCAAAAATGTCTCTAAACAATAAGGTGTGTACAGACTTTATGTCAAGTCAAGGACTTGCTGTATCCGCAAGCGACAATCCAATCAAATTGCTACATTCCGTGATACAAGAAAGATGGTTATTGCAGTCAAGATATAAACTCTTGGTATTATGAAGATGGAAGTCCACAGAATATAATATAACACACCATAATTTGTATTTAACAGAAATTAATTATGTTATGAGGAAAATGATGAACAATGTAAATCCAGAAGAAGAAATCTCAGTAGAAGACGACCATATCGTAGTCAGGTTTAAAGCCGGACCCATGACTAAAGAAAGCAAGTTTAAACTGAACGAGGAATTCGAAGAAGAACGAATGGGAATAATGATGAAGGTGGGCATTGAAATTGAAAAAAATATATCGAGATTTAATTATTTATAATTGATTCAAGTGATTGACCAATCAGCTGACTGGAATACTGAAATCATCTTTGAAGTTATCGAGAAAATAATGCCGTTGTCGCCTAAGAATGTTATTTACTAGGCTTCTTCACGGACTATTATGACCGATGAAACCCTAATATCCATAAAAACCGCCACCGAGATAACGGAAGTGACGTCGGTATGTGGTTGTATAGCAAAGGGGTGAGTGGGGGGTCCAATTCTGAAAAAAAAATTCTGCTGCCGACATTAAGCCTTTAAACCGACGAAACATATTTACATCAGTGTGTTCTTTTAATAACGGGCAGTGAAGATGTAATATGAAACTTGGTCGGTCCTGAAATCTAGAATGTCGACCATATAACTTTAAAATCTTTATTTTAGATAATAGGTCGCTATGAAGACGGGAAGATAAAAATGGAATGTTCACCAACAGATAAGGAAATGAAAGTTCAACATGCTACTCGAGAACGTGTCGGAGAAGAAGTTTTACTTGTAAGTATAAACTATAAATTAGACAATGCTCTCTACTGGTTGTATCAGTTCTTATATATTGTTTTCATATCACGTCATAGCACTTGATCTTGGCCTTGGAGTTGATAGCGCTATACTCTTACAATTACTCTAGCATATTATAGCACTTGACCTTGACCATGACCTGACCTTGACCTTGACCTTAGAGTTGATAGCGCTATACGCTAACAATTACTCCAGCATGTTATAGCACTTGACCTTCACCTCGGAGTTGATAGTGCTATACTCTTACAATTACTCTAGCATGTTATAGCACTTGACCTTGACCATAACCTGACCTTTACCTTGACCTTAGAGTTGATAGCGCTATACTATACATCTAGTTACTATGGCATGTTATAGCCTTTGACCTGGACCTTGGTCTTGGCAAATAGCCTTTAACTTTGGAGTTTTTAACATTGTGTAATACATCAAGTTACTATAGCATACTATAACCCTGACTTTGGCCTTAGGAGATTTTTACTCTATGCTATACAACCATTTACTATATCATGCTATAGATCCTTGACCTTGCAGTTCACTATGCCGCCGTTATAACCCATAACCTTGACCTGGAGTTAATACGGAATATTCTTTTCATACAGTGATCATATCATGTTATGAACCGTGACCTTGACCTTGAAGTTAATACCACTTTCGACCCCAAAAAGTTAAAAGAAGTATTTTAATTCCAGACCGTGGTTGTTGGAGATGGTGACGTCACGTGTAAAAGATATTTCAAAAGAGTACCAACGTAAAAACATATATCGACCAGAGAAAGCTATAGATTTTCCAAAAACTTAAATAAGAAGATTCTAGAGTTCCATCCATTTGATTGGTCATTCACAAAAATCGATTATTAGCTTTGATATTCAATCAGATTACTGTATTTCTTGATTTTATCTTAGGTATCCCAGCTTGTGTCACTGGTAGTTTGAAATTAACTTAGACGACAACATACCTTAAGTTATTTTTACATTGAAGTAAATACTCATCTGGAAAATTTTTTCCACTTCAAACACCAAGTAGAGATTTGTTGCACCCTAATTCTGATTTTTAACCATGTCATATTCCAAGTTGACTTGCTTTAAAACATATTGTTAATTAGTGTATGTATTTTCTGTTATTGTTAAGTCGTGTTTCTTGCTGTATGTAAGCTTACTAATGTACATGTTCTCATTTTTCGAATAAAATACGCTACTATACTATACATTCTCCTACAGTTAATGTGTTTCCGTGAGTTAGACGCTTGCTCGCTAACCCGAATGTCCGGGATTCAATCCCGGCATAGGTAGAGATGATACCTTCGGATTTTTTAACCCGGTTGAAGTCAGTGATGTAGGTAAGAGGGTCTGACATGCAAAAGCGTCTAGTCGATCAGATGGGACAATAAACCGAGGCCCCGCCCCTTAAGCTTCAGATTGTGCACATAAAGATCACTTGACAGATGGAAATCGAAAAAGAGTAACCTAATGATGCTGTCCTGGCAAAATGTCCCTCATTGCACAATGCATTGTGTTGCCTTTGTTCATTAACCCAATTAGGTGCAGTAGAGTAGGACGTCAAACTCATTTCATAAATAGTCGAGTTGTTGTTCCTTGCAGTTACAGTATACTGGAAAGGAATGTAAAGAAAGACAACTCTGCATGAGATATTTCCCGTTCCTGGTGTACTTTGGTCAAACGGAAGGAACAGTTACTCGTGATTTTGACTTCTTTATTACAAATGTAAATTTACAAGTTAACAATATCAGAAAGAATCAGTACCCTAAATCTTGCTACAATGTGAAACATTGTGTAAGCTATTATATGAAAGGCAGTATTCACAAAAAAGGGGGCTTTTTGACCTAGGGGTTAATTTTGAAGTTTTTGAGAGGTAATGCGACTCATCCTGTCTTGCATAACCTTAGAAAGGGGGTAATGTAAAATCGATCACGGGTCCTGAAAGGGGTAATAGAGAAAAAGTGGTTGAAAACCCCTGCACTAAATCTAGCAATAAGTCATTAAGCTTTAAAGATGGGTTCCTTTATATGAATAGAAAGTAGAGGTGTTCTAATACCAGTTTGTCTCACATATCCATAAGTAATTCATAATTAGCTAAATTAGAAGAGAATTATCAGCAGAATTCCATTGAGTGACAGATCAAGAAAAATCAAAAAGCCTTTTTTTGTTTATCCAGACTGTACATACATGGACATTTATGATTGGTTAAAACTCTTAATTATATGCAAGAAGAACATAATGATATGATTAAGAATACATGATAATTCATTAGAAACACCAATGAATCAAATAGTTTGATTAATTTGACACTAAAAAAAATAAGGAAACCCATCTTTAAGTATAGTTGAACATACCGAAACGTTTTATATAAAAACAATTCCTAGGGAATATCTCTTAAAATCGCTACAATGTAAAACATTGGTACAATACTAATTCACAGAAACGCTATAAGCACAAATTGGGCTAAAATATGAACCGAAAAAAATAACGAAAAGTATTGAATTTGTTCGATGCGCTGATAGCTGATATGTATAATGTTGAAACGTTGCGAGAACTATAATTTATATGCAGTATCTGTTAAAGCGTGCTAGTAGTAGATAAATGTAGATGTATAATGTTGAAACGTTGCGAGAACTATAATTCATAAAAATTGTCTGCTAAATTACCCTAGAAATACTTTAAAGTGGTTTGGTTCTTATACACGCCCGACAAATGATCTCCCCCTGTATTTCTTAGCATTCGCGAGTCCTCAACACTATCTGTAAAGCTGCTGCAGAGCTCAAGCAGAACTTCCACGGTAGACCGTTTGATTTCCTAATTGTCATTACTGAATGTAGGCGTCCACCCTTCCTTGATTTCATGCAATTTGAACAAGTCGATATTTGTCAAATTAAAAGGCTTAGCTTTCAATTCATCATCGGATAATTTGGAGAATATTCTCCCATCATAAGATTCCTTGTGACAGAGTCGAGCTAAATTGTCCATACTACACATACGTAAACGCACTTCAAGTTCCTGGACTGATAGATCTGTAAATGTCTTCTGCGGTGCTTTTGAGGATTTTGATTTCATTTTGGTCATAACTGCTGTAAGATAATTTTCCTTTTTAGGGCCCGTGTTAAAAACCTTTGCTAAATTCGGGTAATCGTAATCCGTTTCGATTTCGTCGTCGTCGTTTTCGTTGACTTCATAGATAGACTCGCTGTCTGCCTCGGGTTCTGATGATTGTTGGGAATGTCGTTCTTGGCCTTTCGCTTTCTTAAAAAATCCTTTAAATTTTGCTTTCATCTGGATAAAAAAATAAAGCATGTTTTATAAACAAAATCACTAGTTTATCAAATAATAGAGTAGGTTAGCTCAGTCAGTGCTGACACGGGTTCAAACGAAGCCTCAGTTCTAAGAATACAGACCGTGCTTTTGGTGAAAAGGAGGATACCAGCAGCGTCCACACATTTCAAATTGTAGGAAGAGTAAGATGGGAGGGGGGTGGGTGTGTGTTTGGGGGGGGGGGGGGGGGGTATCGTAACAGAAAGTATTACACTCACCCCATGTCCATCAGAGACTTTCTTTAACTTCATGTCATCTGGAATATAAGATTATGTGTATAACTTATGTACCATCTACATCCTTTGGGTTGACCTACTCTTGACTATGTGGTTTTTTTACCTTAATACACAAGTTGAATTTTTCAAAAAATTTTTCAAAATTTTTCAAAAGATTCAAAACTACATTTTTCATACGAGAAAGGTTGTCAATAGTCATACATGTACATTATTCAAGAGTTTTGTGCGTGTGTAAATATTACAAAACAAAACAAGAATGGCTGCGTACATGTGTATTGATTGGCCGGTTTAAAAATGACATAAAATCATGCATAGTTATCATCTCGGTCTAAAAGTACGAAGTTTTTTGCTGAAGGAAATTATGGAAGAAATATGTAATGGTTTCGGATGTTTTGAAGAAAAGATGCATGATAAAGTGAAACACGATAGAAGACGATGCCTTTTATAAACGTACCTGTTAATTTAGAAGAGTCCCCACTTGAGGCCCAGTCTACATCTGATAAAATTCCTCCTTGATCACCTTGGAATGTATTAAAACTCTCTTGTCTATTTAACGATTCAGTACTAATTTTACCTGATAGAGGTAATTTTACTTCAACTGAAAAAAAACAATAGTAATTTCAATTACATTTTATTGACATGAAGTTGAACCTATTGGACCTATTGGACTATTGGACCTATTGGGCCTATTGGGCCTATTGGGACCTTTGGACCTATTGGGCCTATTGGGCCTATTGGACCTATTGGACCTATTGGACTATTGGACTATTGGAACTTTTGAACCTTTTGAACTATTGGACCTACTGGACTATTGGAGCTATTGGATCTATTGGACATGTAAGACCTATTGGACCTATTGGACCTATTGGACTATTGGACCTATTGAACCTATTGAACCTATTGGACTTTTGGACTATTGGACGTATTGAACCCATTGAACCCATTGGACCTATTGGACCTATTGGACCTATTGGACCTATTGGACCTATTGGACCTATTGGACCTATTGGACTATTGGACTATTGGACCTATTGGACCTATTGGACTATTGGACCTATTGGACTATTGGACTATTGGACCTATTGGACCTATTGGACCTATTGGACCTATTGGACTATTGGACCTATTGAACCTATTGGACCTATTGAACCTATTGGGCCTATTGGACTATTGGACCTATTGAACCTATTGAACCTATTGGACTATTGGACCTATTGAACCTATTGGACTTATTGAACCTATTGGACCTATTGGACCTATTGGACCTATTGGACTATTGGACCTATTCTTAATTAATTCAACTGCAATACATATCATATATATATATATTAATGCCATCTTCAGAATGTCCAACTATTACAAAATTCTTATAATACCTTGACTGCAATAGCAAGTATTCTTGTATCACGAAAGTTTTTAAATGCAGCGATTCGAATGGATTGTACGTTAGCGAATACAGTTCACCAGAACAATAAGCCATAATGTCTCCAGTCTGTCTGTTGAGGTCTTTGATTGGCTGTATTCGCTTGCGTACAATCCAACCAAATCGCTTCATTCTATGATTCCAAGGTATAAGACGAAGCTCGTAAGAGCCTAATGTTGTGAAGACAAGACGCTTTCTGTTCTGTATCTTATTGATCTATTGAAATGGGGTTTTACTGTTTATGCTCATTCTTAACAAATCCAATTACAATACAAGTCAATAAGATATTATACAGATTGTTAAAGTGTTATATATATGTATATCGGTGGCTATTATTGCTTCGCATCATTTCAAGGTCAGTCAGATGTTATTAGTTCCTGTAATTATAGAAAAGTTTAACCGTATATGACGTCACTATCACACCCGCTGATATTAATATCTACGGGCCTAAAATGCACGTATATGCAAACTCAAAATTTGAATGGTGAAAATATATACTCCAAACAATTTAAGTTTGAAAAAACACTCTACAATCGTTTTAAATTTCTATGACAAGTTGACATGAATGTCGTATGACTCAATCCAATCATATGACTAAAAGTTGATCAGGTTTTATAGAAGAAATATAATCCCATTTTCAACAGATTGTGGCTTTGATTGGTTGTTATCAAGGAAGTTAGATATCTTCAATACATACTAGTTACTACAGTTTCTAAAATAGTATTGCCCTGTATCAATATAATTACGGAACCAATGACGTCATGATATATGTAAAAACTGCACGAGAGGATGTTAACGCTTTATCAGCTTTGTCACTTAAGTCCGGCGCGCACACGAGCCATCAGCTCAGGCAGAATTCTTTCGTGCACTTCTGCTTAAGGCGATAGCTTCCGTTTGCGGGTAAATTTGTGTAAGATTTTGGTCATTCGTGGCGAAAAGTTGAAAATCAAACGTGTTTGATAATTTTTTCCACGAATGAACAAATGCTTGTGTGTGCACGTAACTAAAGCTATCTGCTTAGTGGTAAATTTATGCGCATGCATGCGTAGTCACGTGACAATTCAGAATGGCCGCGCTCATGGAATTGAAACTGGTGTAGTGTAGGGAATAATCCTTAAAGATGGGTTCCCTTATTTTCATTTATGAAAATGAAAATGCTAGTACAAGTAGAGGTGTTCTAATGACTTGGAAAATAACCAGTTAGTCTCACAAGTCCATAATTAATTCATAATTAGCTACATTAGAAGAGAATTACCAGCAGAATTCCAATGAGTGACCGATCAAGAACGGTCAAAAGGTCTTTTTTTTTGTTCATCCAGACTGTACATACATGGTTAAAACTCTTAATTATATGCAATAAGAACATGATATGATTAAGAATACATGATAAATCATTAGAAAAACCAATTAATCAAATGGTTTGCTTAATTTGACAATAAAAAAACAAGGAAACCCATCCTTAAAAGCGACAAGTATAGCTGAAAATGAGTTCCATTAGCTGGCCGAGAAATTAATATTATCCCGACAATATCTCTGTAATACTAGTACGAAGAACGTTCTAGTTATCTGGTAATTCACAGCAATAAGAATTCAAAATAATTCTAGTAAGCCCGAATGAATGTATTTTGTACCTAGTTTTTCTTTCATCAAAACGGCCAAGGTCGTGTCGCAATAAACCATCAAAATGTATTTGATATAAGAGGTTCATGGATGACTTGTTATCTTTGACTACGGAATGCAACTTAAAAGGACTGTAAAGAGGTTTCCTTGATTCTTAATGTATATCAAGAACACTGATAGCATTTATTCGCAAATTTTGTTGCAAACGCCGGTAATATTATCGTCAAGTATAACTAAAAATGTGTTCCATTAGCTGACCAAGAAAATATTAACATCATCCCTTCATCCCCTTCACAGAAATGAGAATTCAAAATTTTCTTAGCAATCCCAGATAAATTTCATAATTTAGAATTTTAACTTAATCTTAAACATGTACTTCAAAATAATCCTAGCAATCCCGGATAAATTTTATAGTTTAGAATTTCAATTTTAATCTTATACTTCAAAATTATCCTCGTAATCACGAATGAATGTATTTTGTACCTAGTTTATCTATCGTCAAAACGGCCAAGTTCGTGATTTCAGGTATATCAAAGGACATACGATTTGCGTCATTCCATGAGACGTGTGACAAATTTAAAGGTGCACAAACCAAGGCATCAGGATTTTGAGGATGAGGATTCTAGCATGGTTTAGATTATGGTATGCTACAACGATCGAGTTTTTAATCATGAAATTTCGTGGAAATTGAGAGTCAACAATTTTTATAACTTACCGGGTCTTCTCTTTGGTGTTGATACAAAAGGTCGAACTGGGGCGATTTTTGACAAACCCCCGCGAGGTGGACGGGGAGGGGGCTCGTCTGGACATTCATCCACGGGCGAATCATCGACTGTTGCGAATCGCATACGTGATTTCCTGGTAAATTCCATATACAAGGCTCTGTCCATGACCTGTCGTCCGGCCTGCGTGTCTCGGAAATTCTTAATAACAAAGAACTCGTAATCCTGGGAATCCATATAGAGCGGATACTGAATAGTGACTTCTTCAAGTTCAGAATTACTTAACGGGATCATAATAGCTGTACGTTTCATAAATTTATTCGGTGCCGGATCGGGATGAAGACTTTTATAGTGTCCGAACAAAATTTGTTCCTTATAAACCTTATCCAACAAAATCTTTCCTGCAAAGTTGTCCAAATTGTCGATGGCTTCTTTAATGTCAGAGGAAATACGTTCCTTCGAAAATTGATCGGTGAACTGGACGATTTGTGGAAGGGGAAATCGTTGGATAACTTCCTGTATGGTATACTCATAATCGTCACGCAACACCCGAAAATGCCCTTTGACCGAAGACGCAATAAGAAGCGTCTCCTTTTCATTATGTTTACACTTTAAGTAACTTGTCTGACGTTTGTCTTTTGGCTTCTTCCAGCCGACTGTTTCAAGAACGTCACCTTTTTTGATGGTCACTGCGTTACCATTATCTGCAATACCAATAATCTGGTCCAGAACCTCAACATACCGCGGAAAGTCGGTTACTACATCCTCCATTGTTCTGTATACATGGTACACACCATATTTGGGAAGAACTCGAACGCAACCTTTATACGACACTGGGATGCTGACGTCATCTCCGACTATTTTTGAATATCTTCCAGAATATTCACCGGAAGAGGGGACCCATTCTACAAATCTCCCGCGTATTTTCTTCACGACTTCGCACGAGTCTATTTTGATCAAATCCCCCAGGGAAAACGAGGTAATCTCGTCCCCACTTTCATAACCCTCACAGACTCTGACAACACATGGGAACGATACAGTATTGGCAATATCTCGCAAAGTTGTTGTACTCTCTGACCACTCTATATCAAATTCCGCCATCTTGGTTTCCGTTTTCAGACAAGTCAAACAAAAATGTTATTTAAGCCACAAGAATCCGAGAAACTAACGTAGCAAAGACGTGAAGCTTACACTTGAATGATATGTTACTCCGGTTCAAATTTCAAAAATCCACAAAATGGAGAAGAATTGCTGGGTCCATTGTCAATAGTCACTGAAAGTCGTTGACCTTACGAACACCAATCGCCTTTTATATCCTTTAAGACGAGCAAAGTTGGAAATTATCACTGCATATTAGTGTTCATCGTCTAAATGTCGTAGAGAAGTTGCTTTTCGATAGGAAGATAGAGAAGTATAAACGCTGTATTTATAATGGTAATTCCAGAAACATCATTTGTCACGGATAAGTTATGTACCACGTATTTCCTTCAAGGACACAATGACAATTATTATAGTTTATTCTGTTTCTGCCTAAGTTACTGTTTATAATTGAAATTCCCTACAAATATAAAGAAAAAGAGTTAAAGATAAATGCCAATGCATAAACGAATTAAACTGTGTTCGCACACTGGCAGTTTTAGCCAATTAAGTCAAAGACTTGCGCCAATTTGCATGATTTATGCAAATTTGTGCAATATGTTAGATTACAAATTAATGTGCTCATTATATTCATTATATTTGGGAAAATATGGGAATGACCAACTGATTTATTTCTCTTAGGTACTGGAAGCTAATTCCACCAATAAAGAGGAACAAGTTACGAGATTGCATTGGGAAAGCAATTCAACAATCCATACTATTAACAAGGCAGTTCTCATTATATTTTTAAGATAAGATGGCAAACAACAAATAAATTGTCAATTTCAAGGTAGATAAATAAAACCTTTTCTT